TATAGTGCGGCTGAAACGGGAAAATTCATCAATCGAAAAATTTTCGCAAATCTGCCTGCTATGTGATGTGTTAGGAGGTGGCGGTCGCAACTGAAGCAAAATAAGGAGGGAACCCAACAACTGGGAGTGGGGACGTCCTGTCGGTGGTAACATTCGAGCTCTCCGTGCGACACACACTTTGACATGTACAAGCAATGTGAAGTTCTCCTTTTCAGTGCCACCCATGACTCTGCAGTTATGCCTCTTCCGGGTGTTAAGGACTCATCCGGACTAATTCAACTTTACCCATTCTGATGTCGCAACTGCGCTCCTTAATGATATGGTGCAGCCTTCTCACGGTTGAAAGTCTGTAGTAAGCAAGAGGGACCAGATGTTGGTAGATAATGACTGATGTTGAGTTTTTTCAACTCATTTTCCTACATTTTGTTAAAAAAATACCTGACACCATTTGGCACATTTAGCGCATTCTAGCCCAAGGGGAAGAGCGCTTGGCGAAGCCAGGTCGGCTCGGCGAAGCCGGGCCCTGAAACAGGAGGAGCACCTGTCGGCAGCCGGGAGATCCGACTGGTGCAATACGTCGAATAGAGAAACGCGACGCAGTTGTAGCAGCTCACACTCTGAGGCAGCGTCCACCAGCGATCACCAGCGTTTGGAGCTTTCGTCAGCGCCAGCGACTAGAAAAGTGCAGAAATCGATCTACCGAACGGCAACGTTTACTAGCGTCTATCAGCGTCCACCAGCGACCATCAGCATCTTGAGGGGTTAGGAAAGTAAATATCCATCACAGAGTACATGGGATTCCCCAGCAGGGGGGTCGTATTTGGACGCCGGGGAGAGGGGGTGGTACTTAAAAAAAGTTTTATAGTTGATTTTCTTATTTCAGGGACGCTATAAAGGGGGGAGGGGTCGTATTTGTTGGTTGTTGGGAGGGGGTCGTGTTTGCCTTCCAGTTTTCTGGAACAGGATTGACTTTCCGTGGTGTTTACCGTTTAACATGCGCTAAGTGGGACGTGTCCTGGTCCACCAGCGACCAGGAGTGGAGAGATGGGGGGGGAGGGGGGGGGGTAGGAGGACACCAGACTGCTGGTGTAATAGAGTGTGGGAAGGAGGAGGGAGGAGACAGCTGGATTAGGCGTCGCGAAATTGCGGCGTGCGCAGTCGCACGTGCTACCACACAATACCGTGCTTCCGGTCACAAATGGGCGCTGATAGACGATGGTAGACGCTAGATCCATTTCAAGACTTTCTAGCCCTCAGACGCTAATGGTCGGTAGCTTACGTGGGTGCCGTGGTAGACGTTGGCGCTTGTTAGATCAATATTTGTACTTTCCTCGTACTGATGCTGACGGACGCTGGTAACGATGATGATCGCTGGTGGACGCTGGTGGACGCTGCCGCAAAATG